CCCCAAAACCCCAAAACCCCAAAACCCCAAAACCCCAAAACCCCAAAACCCCAAAACCCCTGTTATTTTGGGCCTATTGACTTATTACTTATTTATAATATTAAGCCAATTTTACTTGAAGTTATCTTTACTCAAAGTATAAATCACTACCAAAGCTACAGAATTCAGACTCAATTTTAACTATGTGGCTTGGATGTAGATCCTAATCGAAGAATATCTATTTATTCTAAGCAAATTGAACTTTGACTGTCTAACAGAGGTATTGATAGCTCTGAATGGCCTTAACCCCATCTCTCAGAGACTGATCCACGCTATGGACGAATCAGGTTTAAAAATGCTTAATATTTAATGTTGAAATTCTTTGACTTCTGCTTCACTAGCATTGTTTCTCAAAGTGTAATTGCTCTCTTGGTTCTGATGGCTCTCGTTGTTTTTTGGATTTAAAGCTTTAAAAGAGCTATCAAATTCAGTACTCTGCCGGAAAGCTGCAGCCTGGCGGGAGTACTCATTTTGCTCTATTCTGTTAAATTTAAGTAATTACCAAGAATAACCTCTTTAGGATGTCTGTTACTTGTGAAGAAAAGAGAATTTTGAGGTGATTCTGGGTTCGAGATTTCAAAAGAGTTTATATCATATGAACCCCTGTTGGCGAGGAACACATCGGATGGTTTATTCGGAACTGGTGAGGGTGACATCATATTTTTGGTACCATAGAAATGCTCAAAGTTTTGAGTGTCCATTACTATATCCTTATATTCCTCCTCTAATTCATTATTTCGAGCAGAGCCGTCCATTTCATAGCTGCGGAACTCGAGTTCGTAATCTTTTTGAGTTTTATTATTTTCATCATTGTCTTGGCCAGTATGGACTGGCTGGGATAGGTTGTTAAGCTCTGTCAATCTGGGAACATCAGACTTAAACATTGGGTTGAATTTATTCTTTTGAAGGATTTCTAACTCAAGTTCACTTTTGGACTCCTCATTGCTGCTTATGAAGTTAACTTTCTTAGCAGTGATTGTTTTGGGGGCATCCATGATTTTGCCCATCTTCTTAGGGGAATATACGGGTGGCAAGGAGTCCTTGCTAACCTCGTTCATACTGGCTCTCTTGGTCTTGGGAGATAAAACTTCCTTTTTAGGAATAAATATTTCAAAATATTTTGGATATGAGTGAGTGTCATCAAAATAATTTGTACCTTCTTGGAGATTTTTAGCCCTTGTTTTCCATCATCACATCCCAGTTTCCACTCTCTTAAGCCTGATTGTAAGTAGCGTTCTTCCGCTTTGAATTATATACTTTTTATTTCTAAAAATGAGATGAAAATTTTACGGTTTTGAGGACATCTTTATTGCCTCTTTTTGGAGAATCAGGGTTCCAAATTTACTCTGGTAGTCTGTCAAATAAAATTCATTATTTTTCAGTTAAGTAGATAGCAGTGTGCTGTCGTGAAATTGAGATGTCTGGCAATCGGACCTGTGCTGCTTGTCCTCTCCCAATTATGACTTTCTCTTCCATCATTTTAATGAAGAATATTATTTTTGAAGTGTTTTTCTTCAGCATTGCCGAGTTTAATCACTCCATCACTATATAAGGAAATTCTAAAATTTCTTCTGGAGTATCGATTAGGTTCACAAGTCTGGTACTCTCATGAAGAGATAGGTAGCTATCTTTCATAGTGTTGCTCATATCTACAGGGACTTCTATTGTATCAGGTAGCTTCTCTTTGCATAGCTCTCACTTCATGTTTTCCCAAGTGAGGCAAACATAGTATTCTGATCGTCTTATTTTCATCTTACACTTGAGGAGCTCCTTGGCTCAATTGATGTGAATATACTTGACAGTGCCAGATCAGTTACAGATGGAAATTAGGGGATCGGTTTTATCTCACTCTCCAGAGAGGCAGATTCTGCAGTTGAATTTGAATTCTTTTTCAAATGTACTTTCATCTAAATCTTGCTCGTCAATATATGATACGCCATTGTCAAGCTTATTTTCAATTGCTGGGATTAACCATTTTCTCATTCTGTGTTACACCTTGTAATCTCTCAAATGATTCATTAAGACGGTTGATTATAAGTTACTAGAGCTCCTAGAGACTACTGGGTTTCGAGGATTAGTTCACAGTACTCTCATCTACAGAAGTTTTAGCTTTACAGTGATTTGCTTACCTCAAATACTAGTCTTCCAAATCTTATAATGTCTCCTTCCAAGACTCGATGGCAATTTCGGTAAGGACTAAAATTATTATATGCTATCGTGGGAATCCAGTTGCAATTTCGAAAATCTTTGTATCACGTCATGGACTGCTTTGGAAAGCTATTGTCAACATAATAGTTCTCATGAATATTAACAACCGAAATCAAAGGCATCCCAGTGAAAGAATTCGTCTTTGAGAGAAAGCAATTGCCTGTTTTATTTCCGACCAATAATAAAGGAATCTTGGGCTTGTAGTTTAAATTTCTTTATATTTGATTTATTGCTGTTAGGGTTCTGTGTATTGTCATAATCGTGAAGCCCATGAGAGTCTTTATCCCATGTCTCTGCAATGATATCAACATAAAATTCGCTTTTGGACATTAGCAATCTTGATTATAAATTTAATTTAAATTTTGAGCCAGGGGTTTTGGGGTTTTGGGGTTTTGGGGTTTTGGGG